TGAATATATATATATATATATATATATATATATATATTTCATAAAGAGTAAAATTGTAAATAAACATTTTAAAAGGAAAACAATTAGGCAAAAGTATAACAAAGGCAAAGCAGTAGTATAAATCTTAGAGGGGACTGATGAAGCTGAAAGGGATAAATTGGGGTGGGAGATGATAGGGCAGAGTAGAAGAGGGAATATGGGGAGGGATAAACAACTCTAAAGACCCTTCCAAAAATTATATAGAAACACATCTATCACCATGTAAGGGTCCTAAAATATGTATGTATATAATTAAATTAGAATACATACATTTGATTACCTATATACAGAATTCAAATTAAATTATCCTTTAATGGAACAATAGTAAGCCTACTAGACACCATAGCCTAACAAATGAAAAGTATGATTCTAGGAATAATTTTCCTCTTTTGGAGCTGTTGACCAGTGAGGTCCCATGAACCCTCAAAAATAAACACTAGAGGCTATTGACAATACTATTGGTTATCATCCAGAACTTGACAGTAAGACTGTATTGATGCAGATACCATGTATTTGAACCATAGAACATGGTACAGTCAAGCTGCTAACCACTGGAAACATCATCACTTCTAGCTTGCTTTCACAGAGACAAAAGGTTCTTGGAAAAGTAATCATCTGTGAGTCTTGTAATAACAATTGACTTCCAAAGACACCGCTCGCTGAGGCAATAGTGCATGAGCATCATGAGAGTAACCAACTACTTTTCTCATTAGATTTAAGTCCTGCTCCAGATGATGAAATTCATACCAGAATATTTCTGAACTATTAATTTGTGACTAGACAGGTCATTGGCCCCAGGGTTATTATTTATAGCCTCCAGGTACTATTCTGCTAAGTGGACATAATATTAAACTGATTCCTAATGACTTATTGTTTTATCTGTAGATTAATATAACCCTCAAACTTCATCAGAGAAGCTTGCATTTGCTATAAACAGCGATTAACAAAGATAGCCACAACTGGCTAAGTGAAGACACCACAGAATGTTCAGTCCTAAGTCGAAAATATACTGCACCTCCTCCTCCAAAGTCTTAGGGATCACCCTGGAAAGCAGGGGTAAATACTATAAAGACAAGGTAGTGTTTGGAACACAACCGGACAGTTGTATTAGTAGTAATTAAAGATGAGATAATGGAATTTGGGAAGAAGACACAGAAAGAGTTTGGAGAAGGAAAGGGTGAGGGTCATATAGATGCAATGCTTATACATTAAGCTCTCAAAATATAAAATTAATTAGAAAAGCAAAAAAATCTTAAAAAGAAGAAAACTAATAGTAGCTAATTATTAAGCACTTTATAATTGAGCTATAGGTACAGCCCACACAACCACTCCTCTATTTTAAAATGCTGGGATTTGAACATTGCATTCTGCACATGCTAAGCAACACATTTCCATTGAAATAGACCCCAGTCCTATGAAGAAGGAATTCCACCTCTCCATTTCAGCATCAAATCTACTAGCTTCCAGTCTGCTCTGGGATTTTGGGTGTCAGACTCCATCGACAAGATCACATGAGCAAATGTCATCCTGTAAATGTCACATGAGGACAGAGAGTCAAATGGAAAGGTAGACTATCTAAGGCTCTTTACCTACAAAGAGTAAGGGCTAAGAGAATATAAATAAGACACCAAACATATCTGTTATAAAGGATATTTACAAGAAGTTTGAATTTTTAATTATGTTTCTTGTTAATTGAATCAAAAAACCAATGATAAATCCCACTCACCTCTGAAATAAAAATTAAAGACTGAGAAAATGTTTCTTAGATAAACCTTGGAGAAAATGGGTGCATGAGTCACATGAACATCCTCAAATATCAAACACAGAGAGCTAAAATCCTATAAGCCATTAGGGAGTATTAGAAACATTAAACTATTTTTATTAATTTATATTTCACTTATTTATAGCCTTACTACTTTAAACACTGGAACCCTAAAGAAGCAACTACCAAATTGGAAG